TTAATGAAGAAGTAAAAAATATTAATGTCAAATTTTGTAACCGAAAATGGAGGGAAATTTTTAGAGATTTTATTAAATGTTTTATTAAATGCTACATGCTAGCAATTATATATATATATAGATTTATTTTCAGAAGAATAATATAGTTAAAAAGGCTTAAACAGAATTTCTTTTAGAGTTTATGTTTTTCTTATCCAATTTTAGTATAAGGCATCATTTTTCTAAATGTGACCGCCACAACTAGAGCACATTTCTCGATTTTTGTGTACCTCAATTCAGCTCATGTGCATCACCTTACTGACATAATAGATCGGGAATTGGGTTGTCCTCTCCTCTCTGAGCAACACCATACTCACTATTGTAACCCCTATCAAGACGTAAAAAACCAGGTCTTCTTCCTGAACTGGCTTGACTAACATAGGTAGATTGACCAACACCTCTTGCAGTTCCTCAAAGGCCTTTTGGGCCTCCTCCGTCCAACTGAACTTCGAGCTCTTTTTCAAGATTCTGAATATTGACATGCTCTACTCCGCGACCTGAGATGAAACAACTTAGCCGACGATCCGACCTGTTAAGATTTGTACTTCCTTTACGCACTTTGAAAGCTTCATCTCGACCACTGCACGCACATTTTCGGGGTTCACCTCTATTCCTCGCTTGGTCACCATGTACCCAAGAAATTTGCCATAGAAATAACATTTAGTTGGGTTTAGCTTCATCCCGTATTTCTTCAATGTCGAGAAGGTTTCCCTCAAATCCTCAACATGATCGACCTCCTTCTTGCTTTTCACCAACATGTCGTCAACATAGACCTCCATATTTCGACCTAGCTAGTTCTTGAAGTTTTATCTACCAACCTTTAATGCGTAGCTCCTACATTTTCAACCCGAACGGCATTGCAATAAGCAGTAAGTGTAAACTTGTGTGGTTTGTAAATATCAAAAGTAGACTTAAGGAGAATGAAGAAAAACGAAACAAAAATCAAAGTCGAAGCACGTAATAATTACGTTCTCCTTAAGACGAAATTGCCCCGTAAAATACCCACGGTTAATGGCAAACGCCTCCACGAATTTTTATATACAAGATTTCAGCGAACGCTACTATTGTCTGGAACTCTCAAGATAGAA